GTTATGTCGAGATCACGAGAAAATTAAGTCGTTATAACGAGAAAACAACTCCCGTTATGTCGAGATCACGAGAAAATTAAGTCGTTATAACGAGAAAACAACTCGTTATGTTGAGATCACGAGAAAATGAAGTCGTTATAACGAGAAACCAACTCCCGTTATGTCGAGATCACGAGAAAATTAAGTCGTTATAACGAGAAAACAACTCGTTATGTCGAGATCACGAGAAAATTAAGTCGTTATAACGAGAAAACAACTCGTTATGTCGAGATCACGAGAAAATTAAGTCGTTATAACGAGAAAACAACTTGTTATGTCGAGATAACGAGAAAATGTAATCGTTATAACGAGAAAACAAGAAGAAAAAAAATAATAATACATGGCCGCTTAGAACTTCCGTAGGATTCAGATGCAGCAGTACCTACTATGTTTATAAAGAAGATTACTGAACTCAGTGAAATGTAGGACAACAAACCATTCACATAAAAATGAATTAAGACAACCAAATACTAAAACTCTACTACTCTATACTGTAGGAATATAATAGACAAAAGGAGAAAGGAACAAAATACAACAGAATGCAATAATATAAAAAAGAATCACTAAGCAAACAAACACAAAACTAAATGTGACATTATATAAATACATTATATCACATCTTATAATAATATGTAGAAACAACATTAGAAATCTGTGAAAATTAATGTAAATTATATGTTGTTATACAATTTCTGATCCTTTCTGGTGTGCAAATTTGTGATTTTTTAAAATATTTTTTTATGCACTGTTACATTTTGGAAATAAAAAAGGATCACATCACCAAAGCCTGTGTGTCTGTAGTTGCCTGTGTGTCACCAAAGCCTGTGAATGGCACTAGCGAGCATCCGATCCAGTTTGCTCGCGCGCAGGTAACGTTACTGAGTGTTGATGAACAAATACTGAAGTTACAGTGGGCTTTATCATGATATCAAAAAGTAATTACTGTTTGCTTATTAATATGATAATTTTCTCTAACTGTGCTTTCAATCATTGATTTAATTATTTACTCAAAACTGTTAAATTAGATAAAATGTAAATATGTATATTTTTTGGTGATTAGTTATAATTTGCTGGAATACTTTATTGTGTTTCTGAATTGTTTAATGTGAGTTTACTTATATAAGCCACTTTTCCATGTGCAGTTATGCTCAGTAATGTTCTTTAAGTAATTTTGTTTACTGATATAGTGTATCAATAATAAAATACATTTAACTGAGAAAAAAACCTTCTGTGTGTGCATTAATAATTAATAAATGATTAGTGTGTCCACTTTACTTTAAAGTTCACTTTCACAGGTTAATGATGTTCATAACTCATTAATAAATGGTTCACAGGTGTTCACTTTACATTAAGGTTCACTTTCACAGATTACTAATGTTTATAGATCATTAATAAATGGTTCACAGGTGATCACTTTACATTAAGGTTCACTTTCACAGATTACTAATGTTTATAGATCATTAATAAATGGTTCACAGGTGATCACTTTACATTAAGGTTCACTTTCACAGATTACTAATGTTTATAGATCATTAATAAATGGTTCACAGGTGATCACTTTACATTAAGGTTCATTTTTAGACGTTATTAACATTTATAACTCATTAATAAATGGTTCACAGATGTTCACTTTACATTAAGGTTCACTTTCACAAGTTATTAACGTTTATAAATCATTAATAAATGGCTCATTACATTAAGGTTCACAGGTAATATTGGAATTAAAATTTTCAATACTAATATCTCATCAAATCATGGGTGTGCTTTTATTATTTTTCCCCCAAAATAAAAATCTTGATAAACCAAATATATTGGTTTCTAATCATTGCTGTGGATAGGCATCATGAACTTTTGCGGAGACTCATGGGTAAGGTACAGAGTAGATTCTGGTAAGAAACATTGTAAGAAAAGTGGCACGAGTCATGAGATAACCATAAATACAACACCCTTTAGTCTTGACATAATAATAAATTGTTGCTGCATCATGAAATAAATCAGAAATCTGGTTTTGAGTGAATTAAGTATTTATAAATATATTTGTTAAGCATTTATAACATGTGAGTTAAAAATGGCTCACTATTTGGCAGGTATTGCATTAAAATCACCCTTTTACTCATGCATTTATAACTGCTTATCAATTATTTATAATGCATTTGTAAGTGAGTTATTAGTCATTTATTAACACCTTTATAAACCCTTTAAAAAGGGAACCTTAATGTAAAGTGTTACGGATGTATTTATTTGACAAAACCGGCAATATTGTGAAATATTATTAGGATTCCTATTTTAATATATTTTAAAATGTAATTTATTCATATGGCAAATTGATGAATACAATTTCTCAATTCATGACCCCCTTAATGCTGAACTATTTCAAATCCATTCAAGGAGCATATTCTGGAGTAAAAAAAACATAAACCTTATGCTTTTTTCACTGGAACTACAGATTGCATATTAAACTTTACGGTTTCTATGAAATTTAGTTCTGACTCTCCCATTAAAAAAAATTACCCAAATGCACAAAACCTGTTACACTACAATCACAAGTCGAGATAGAGAGAGAGAATTGTGTTTAGATATTAACTAGTTTAATTTTTATTATAAACAGCATTTATTGAAAATAAAATTGAGCAATGTGCAGATCATTTTGAAAATACATATAGATTTGTTCCTATTATAATATATGCAAACTTTATCTGTATGTTTAAATTACCTTAATGAAGCTTAGTCAATAATTTCAAGTTCTTGCAGTTTGTTATAACTCAAGTTAAATCAGTGTTTCAGTCTTTTGATGGACACATTTCAGTTTTATATTTACATTTATTACCATTCATGTGACAATTTCAGTTTCTAATCCTTCCACCATAATACTATACACACGTCACTGTCTGACCTTCGAGGGTGCTTTCATTGGCGTCCTCTAGACCTCTGAGATGCTCGTTGAGGTGAACGTTGGAGTGTTTGTTGAGGTGCTTGTCGTGGTTGTGCATTAGAAGTAGCACTGAGTAAGGCACACCCAGATGTCAGACAGACTCCAGGAACTCCACGTAGTCCAGGATGGCCTCTCAAACCAGGCTGGCCAACATGGCCTCTCTCACCCATCTGACCTGGTTGCCCATCAAATGCCCGGCCAGGTCGCCCACGCTGACCTAGTTATGATATGTGAAAAATAATAAATAAATAAAATGCTGCATAGTCTACCAACGTGCCAGTGAGACTCTCATTTGATCTCATGTGATGTTTCTATGACAGGAGAGGTTAATTCGTGTTTATTATTTCGTTACCCTTTGGTCCCTGCTCCCCAATGTGGCCAGGAAGGCCATAGCCTTTACCTCCCTTGTCTCCTGGTTCTCCCCTGTCACCTGTGGCAAACACATTTTATTAAAATGAACAACCATCTCAATGTGTAAGTGCAAATAGATGTTGGTGGAAGTGATGGGAAGATCATTTTACTGACTGTCTTGTGTGATTGAGTCTTTTGTTCATTTGTCATGTAATTCATATTAAACAAATCGTTCACGAATGACCCATCACTAGTTGGTGGAAACACATGCTAATTGAAGAGATTATAATTTAGTAAAATATGAACAACTAGTGCTACATTTATAATTCAGTGCCCCTGCACAGAAGCATTTTGCAACCTTTTTTTTTTGTAGTGAAAATGTTTTGTTATTTACCTGTTTTTCTTCACTATAGTTAGCTACTTTTAGCAACTTGTAGTATAGGTACAGTTGAAGTCATAAGTTTGGCATACATACAGGGGACCTGCAAGTTTCACTTTTAAATTGTTTTTGAACATAATTGTGTGTCTGCAGTATGTGTACACAGCCGCACTATTATGGTAAAAATCCATCCACTGTGTTATTTTCTTCGTCTCTGTCATGACAACTCTTGGCATGGTAACACATATGGCAATGTTAATGTACAGTATTTTGTCTTGGCAGAATAGATGGTTTTTGCCTTTATTGAGATGTGATAGAATAGAGTGATTGTAGGAATCAAAGTGGGAGAGAGAGGAGGATGGGATTGGGAAAGGTCCAGGAGCCAGGACTGAAACGCGGGTTGCCTGAAGCGGAACTGTGCTACATGTTGACTACAAGTCTATTGGGTCTATTGGGTTATATATATATATATATATAACCTTGTATGTATTTGACAGTTTAAGCCATGGTTGTCCTGTTTGGACACCACTGGTTTAAGAAACAAAAGATAACTTTGTTTAGTACTCATGCAACACTCACCGTGTGATAGCCGGCTTTCTGTGCGCGCGTTTCATGTGTGTGCGCTCAGAAAACCATATCTAAGAAGTTTCAGCAGATGTTTAGTTTGTTGTTGGCAGACTATCTGAGGCGCAGGTTGTAAAAGCTTTGCCATCTTCTGGAAAGGGGAGCGGGGAGCAGCAGCTCATTTGCATTTAAAGAGACGCACAGGAAAACGGCATAAATTGTAACATATGTTCATGGTTCACTTTTTGTACTTCCTTTTTTAACACGCAGATCAGTGAGACATAAAAAAATGTGCAAAGCAATGTCATGTAACAGATGTTAACTTATAAGCTACAAGACAAAATAATAACATAATTTACATAAATTAACCATCCATTTTCAAACCGCTTTTTCTTTGTAGGGTTGCTGAAGCCTACCCCAGTTTCTCAGACCGTAAGGCAAATTATTATTATTTCTATTATTTCATAATTATATAATTATTGTAAATATGTAAAAATCCTATGTTGCTTCTGAAGAGCAGTACTACATTAAAAAACAACAACAGAAAAGAAGTCCCTGACTCTGAATGTATCATGTTGCCACCTTCTTGGGCATCAATGAATTTTGCAGTATGTGAGTCCCTCAGTTGTCATCATTGTGAATAAATGGATCTCAAAATCATAGTCACTGCTGGAAAGGTATCAAATATGCAGAAGATGCTGGAAAACCAAAGAATGTGGTGGTCCTGGAGGATTTTCTGAGCAACAGTGTGCAGTTTAACTGTTTAGTACAAACAAAGGAAAAATCATGTGAATATAAAGGTTTGTATGGTGTATTTTTTAAATTCAACTATTATTTTGTCTTGTGGACTATATTTGAACATCTGTCATGTGCTGTGGCTTATTCATGACCATACAAAAAAAAACATGCAATTTTTTATGATCTCTTCTTTAAAAAATATTAATGAGATGTTTGCAGATTCTGCAGTGTGTGTGTGTGTGTGTGTGTGTGTGTGCGCGTTTTTGTGACAAATGAGGACATAAATTTGTATAATGACAAAGGTATGACATAGGTATTACAGTATTACAGTGACTTTTCAGGACATTACCCCATGTCCACACTTTTCAAAACACTTATAAATCACAATCTGAAATAGCACAAAGTCTCCTGTGAGGGGTAGGTTTAGGGGTAGGGTTGGTGTAGGGCAATAGAATATACGGTCTGTACAGTATAAAAACCATTACGCCTATGGGATGTCCCCACTTTTCACAAAAACACACCTGTGTGTGTGTGTGTGTGTGTGTGTGTGTGTGTGTACAATCTGCAAGCTTGTGCAACCAGCTTGTGATTTAGTAGACTACAATAATGCTGTTTTTACCTTATGACCTGAAGCTCCTATTAGCCCTTTCAGACCTTTGGGTCCTCTGTCACCCTGTGAGAGAGAAGAAGATTTGTTATTGCAAATCTTTGGATGCAAAGCTACAAGGCCATCAAAATGGTGCTCTGCAGTTGTATGATGTATTACCTCCCGACCACGAGGTGCTCTCATGCCCTTTTCTCCTTTGATGCCGCCTTCACCCTGTGGGATGCGAGTTGACCGTTGAGTGGGTCTGTACAACAATGCAAACCAAGGGACTGTACAACGAAGCCACTCACCTTAGGCCCAGGTTCTCCTATATGTCCATAATCTCCAGTGTTCCCACGTATCCCCTGCAGCAAGAAGGTTTGAGATGAATGCTTGCAGGATTGCTTGTAATTGTAAATAATATGTAACAACGGCAACAGATGTAGACTTTAATTGGCCAATAATGTTAGCCCAAGACGTAAAGAACTTGGTTTACGGTGCTGGAAAAAGGCAGCATGTATTCCACTATATGACAGGCTGGAGCTACAGAAGGGCAGAACGGAAATGGTTCCCTCCATGTTGGTATAAAATGCACTTGACCAAACAGGATCCTTAGTTACACAAGCGAACAACTGCCAGTAGCTTCCAGGGTTATAATGGGAAAAAAACTACATTTAAAAGGCAAACAGTGGAAGTCTAAACTTCATAAGCCCTGTGCACAGTTTGTTTCCTTGCTAATTTACTTCTTAAAATGTAAATAACACAAATTGCAACAATGTATTATCAACATGTTTTATGCTTCAGAACAGTTGCTGTTGCACCACAGAGGTGAAATTTGATGTGGTCTAATCATGTAATATAACTTAATTCCCTTCTTTACTAAGCCATTATCAAGTGCTGCTTTTTCTGCACCGATCATGGGGGGTAAATCTCTGGAATTAATTTAAACAATGAAATGTGTTAAATGTAGCCGAGACACTCTTAAAGCCCATTTCACACTAGACATGTAAGTGTAAGCAGCACAAACAGTATTGCACTGTATTTCTGCTGAGTCTAGTTTTGTTGCACTGCTAATAGTTTAACCATAAAAGCATTTAAGTTTTTGTGTTTTCATAAAACACACTACTGTCAGCACAACACAAAAAGGCAAGTTAAAGGGGTCATATGATGCTCCTAAAAAGAACATTATTTGGTGTATTTGGTGTAATGAAATGTGTTTATGCAGTTTAAAGTAAAAAAACACATTATTTTCCACATACTGTACATTATTGTTTCTCCTCTACGCCTTTTTGAAATGCGTCGATTTTTACAAAACTCATCGGTCTGAAAAAGCGAGGTGTGCTCTGATTGGCCAGCTATCCAGTGCGTTGTGATTGGCCGAATACCTCAAGCGTGTGACGGAACTGTTACACCCCTTGCCATAGTGTGATGCCTTGTCCGGTCGGAGCGACGACACAAAAACATTCAAACCCATTACAAATGAGGCATTTGTTGCATCCAGTGGGGACATAATTACTGATTATAATGACTTATACTGTCTTTTTACGCGTTGCATTGCATCGCGCCGCGTAAACATAAAACCCTGTCTACATTTGTGATCGGAGAAATGACAAACAACAAGCGCTACTCCACACTGCCCAAAACTTGCGTTTGAAT